CAATTTAAAGAACGTGGCAAGTCGGTATGGGGTCCGAGTGGTATTTTCAGCCCCGCAAAAAATGAGCAAAATTTGCTCCATAGTCAACTCGCAAGCCGAAGGTGTCACAAGACACAGGTGCACAAAAAAACATGCTAAACCTTTTGTTCCGTGCACTTCAGGCGTGGTATACAAGATTCCACTCTCGTGCGGGAAGATCTACGTAGGTCAAACAGGCAGGTGCCTTAATGACCGACTTCGCGAGCATGATTATTCTTTGAGAGCCACAGTGGGAGGCCATCTTGCAACACATTGCAAAGAGTGCAATTGTAATCCGCTGTTCGGGGAAACAATAACCCTAGAGAGGCACAAGGATAAAATGACCCGCGAGGTGGTAGAAGCCTTCTACATCATATCCGCAGCTACTAAATGCATTAGTGTTGCATCGGTGGCCTTAACAAGCAAGGAAACAGACTTTTTAACACGGACAATGCAGAACTCGCATGAGTCACGGGTGCCGCGAGACATCAGGCACGACGACCCAGCGGCAGCCGACCATGGATGATGTGTTCGTCTTCCCCTCTGACACGGGTGACCAGGCGCGAGCGAAGGCTGATGCAAACACACCCTGCACCACGACAACGAAGGCACAGCCAACAAAGGTTTTAGGGTTTAATCAAAGAACCAGTGTATCAAGCCTGTGAGCGCGAGGGAACACCCGACTTTGTGTTTTATATTCCTGTTTTATATTTCTGCTTCCTCTTCTTCCTTTTTCATCTTTATGGGGAGCTGGACGATGTTCTTTCTTTTCTTCATCTTTGTAAATACAGTTGTGAGTAGCGCTCTTTTCTGTCCCTTCTCTCTTCCTCATACGTGTGCGCTAATGCCGTTAATATGTCTAACTACCAACTAGCCCAGTTATCAACCCTTTTATAGAATTACCCGATACTGCGGTGATGACAGCGAAACGACAGCAAGTCTCAAACACGGGAGTTTGAGATTTCTCTCTTTCTTGACATTTTTCTGTCATCCCCGCAGTCTTGGGCAATTCTACAATTATGAACTTACGCCGGCTCACTTGCGCCCTTACGTTTTGTTCATTGGGCGCCATAAGTTAACGCGCTCGAGCGCGCTCCAGCGGTCAGAGTGCACTCAAGCTAAACTAAACGACATTGTCTCACTTCCGGTGCCCGGTGGCGGAGCGCGGTCCGCGAGCTCCGTCGTCGGAGATGGTGCGTGAGAGCTCGAACAGGTCGGTTTCCGGTGAGATGACGGCGTTTCCGCTCTTGCGGCCAGTCTCGCGGTTCCTCGCGGTGGTTTCACACGGTGGTCTGGTGAACTGTGGTCTGGTGGTCTCGCTCGAGATCAAAACCCAAGCGTTTTGGGCTCCAAGCCGGGCCGCCGGGCCACTCTGGACCAGAGGCGTTGGGTGTGCGCACTCCCTGGCGAGCGAGTTCGCTTCCGAACGCTCCGAGGATACCACCGTGCTCGCCTCGCCAAACCTCGCCGACCGCGACTGCAGACCGAACCCCGCGACCGAAAGGCTCCAGCCTAGCCAGGAACGGCACCGAGGTAGGCCGGTCGTGGGTAGGGGCTGCTCGTTCTGCGCTACCATGCAGTGCTCGGAGCTCTCGGCGTCGTTCGTGCTTGCGCCGAAGCCTTTAGGGACTCCCTCGGACACGCAAGTCGCGCCTGCTTGGATGCGTGGATATTTCGAAGGCAGCTCGTGCAATCGTTCCGTCCATCGGGGAAAACAAAAAAAAGTGAAAGCCGCTTACAACTCCCTGTAACGCCGAATTAGAGCGCAGCTCTTGAGGAGGAGGAGGGAAGGGCGCTGGGGGGGGGGGGTTAGACTAACCAGGGGGGGTCACGTGACCTTGGGGGGTCCCGTGACCTTGGGGGTCACGTGACCCCCAATGCCGATGATGTCATCACTGACGTCACTGATGATGTCATCAGTGACGATGACGATGCGGGTACCGATGACGTCATTAGTGACGTCACTGATGACTTCACCAGTGATGATGACGATGACGATGCGAATGTCGGTGACGTCATCAGTGACGTCGCTGACGACGTCATCAGTGATGATGACGATGACGATGCGGATGCCGATGACGACATCAGTGACGTCACTGATGACGTCATCAGTGATGATGACGATGACGATGCGGATGTCGGTAACCTCACCGGCATCCACATCGTCATCGTCACTGATGACGTCACCGGCATCCACATCGTCATCGTCATCATCACTGATGACGTCACCGGCATCCATATCGTCATCGTCATCATCACTGATGACGTCACCGGCATCCGCATCGTCATCATCACTGATGACGTCACCGGCATCCGGATCGTCATCGTCATCATCACTGATGATGACGTCATCGATGACGATGACGATGTGGATGCCAGTGACGTCATCAGTGCCGATGACGTCATCGGGGGGTCACGCGACATCGGCGGGGGTCACGTGACCTCAGGGGAGTCACGTGACCTCGGGGGGTCACGTGACCTCGGGGAGTCACGTGACCTCGGGGGGTCACGTGACCTCGGGGGGTCACGTGACCTCGGGGGGTCACGTGCCCCCCACGAAGTCACGTGACCCCGGTGGAGGGCTCCCGCGGTGCATTATGGGACATTTCCCATGATGCACCGCGCGGTTATGCCGACGCCGACGCCGCTCAAGCCGGAAACGGGCCCCTAAAGCTGCGCTCTAAAAGAAAAAAAAAGCATGGTGCTGGTGTAGGAAGGTATGCGTACATCATTCAAATGCTTGTCAAAGTTCTTCATGTACCTTACCACAATTTCAGGATCAGGCGAGCCAATAAATTCGGCCATTCAGCCGTCATTCTTCAATTTGGGAATTCAGAAGGCGTTCGGCGTACCTTTAATCGCCGCACCAACAGCGTGCAGCACAAATACAAGCTCTTGCTGTTGCTGCCGTCTCCGCGCACTTATTTCATCGAAGTCGTCATCAAACAAACACTTTTTCGACGTTTCGACGAAACAGGAGCCATGTTTAAGTGTGCGCCGGAGAGCCGGAACCGGAAATGTTGAAAAAAATAAGCGTCAGATGGCCCCTCGGTACCAAAGTGCGCCGTTAAGCTACGCTCCGAACCCGCGCACTCGAGCGCAGATGCCCGGAGTCTGGAGCTTACTAACTTAACGCGCCCATTGAGTGCTGATGTTTGCACATTTATTTACCACAGTGACGATCCTGCTCAGTTTGTTGCGGGTTGAGAAAATGACGTTCACCCCATATCTCGAGGAGATTCCCTTTATCCCAAGAGAAAGGCGGTGAATATATGGTAGGACTGCTACATTCTTTTTGTCTATCTTAGCTTTCCCTTTGCACCATTTTTTTGGGATCCACCTCGATGTTACGGATTGATTTGCCCCATGCGAATGTGATAACTGTGTTGGGAAAGTTTGAGTCTCTCCGCCTGGTGATTTGAGCGATGAAGCTTACTTTCATTTTGTGGATACAGGCTTTTGTTAACGCCGATTGCAAGCACGAAAGAGCGATGCCATTCTTGACGAGTTGTGAATGTTCTGATTTATAGTCAGGTAAAGTCTTGGTGGTTCTAAGGTGGTGCATTCAGCATAAGAAATCTTTTTTGACATCCACTAGGAGATCCAAAAACTGAATTTTGGGCTCTTAGGGGGTCTCAAAGGTGAAACCGAGGTCTAAACATTCTTCCGTGAATGACCATAGCACATTGTTAATTGTTTACACAAATTCAGTCTTCTCTATGAACACCAAGCAGTCATCTACACACCTGAAAATTTGTTTTGTAATGCCTACCAGTCTATGTTCATGAATTGGTAGGTATTACAAACCAAATTTTCAAGCATGTAACATTATCCCTTCCTAGGAGTCCTGGTTTGCCGAATTTGAACGCAGAAATAAACAGTTGCTACGCGATAGTTGTCGTTCTTACGATTTTCTTCTTGCTCTCTCTCCTCCAATGTCGGAAAAACGTTTAGAATGTTCGATGGATTGTTGGCAAAGTCGGCTGCCCCTGGCAAAGCCGAGCTCCCAAACGCAAACCCTCGTGTGCTGGCTTTAGGAAGCGGCAAAGCTGCACCCTTGTAGCCACCCGTTTGAGCACTGTCGGAGTGTCTCTGGTTGTGGTAAAGTAAACCACAGCCAAAGACACTCAGACCCCAGTGTTAAAGGGTATTGGTTAGTTGGGACATAATCCCTAGTAATGGCAGTTTATTTCTGCGTTCCAATTTAGCAAAGCACCGCGTTGCACGGCTATCAAAAAGAAGATAAAGAGTTGGTACTGGAGGAACAGTGTTACTGGCTCCTTTGGCAGCAACACAACACCCAGGATGGGATAACTTCTTCCGACAATGAAGCCACGAGTACCCGTGGACTCACGCGCCTATCAAAGCTGCGCTCGCGTGGTCTTCACTCACAAAATTCCAGAAAAAAAAAAGCGAAAGCCGCACGAGGAACTGGAACAACTCTGGAAGCCACAAGATTGCTCCCCTGCCTGCCAGCCATTACGGGTTGTTGAGGCTCGTACTCTCGGGAGAAGCCCGGGTGCTGCCATCTGGCCAGAGAAAGCTGACAAAGTCTGAACACAAAGTATTCCTTCTTCAAAGTGTTTTGCGGAATAAACAAAACTGCTTTCTGTAGAGGGAGGGAGCTCTGCACAATCGAAAGAAAGTTTTTTTAAATATGTGACAAAATACGCTTTCCCCATCCAAAGATTCAATCCGAAATTTCTGCCCTGAGACACATTTGAAGTTGAGAGCAATTTCGTGCTAAGATTAAAGCTATTTCATCTCTGTGATGTCCAATGAGAGAACATGCTGGCGCCATCTGCAAACTGGTCCTGGCATTTCACTAGAGCCTCGCAGCACTTGCCAGATGTAAAGGTCCAACATTGTTTTTCGAGCCCATGGTGCACGAAGCAAGCAGGAACGGCAGACGAGAAAGCCCTGTTGCACTCAACCACGAGGGTGTGAGGCCGCCTTGAGAGCGGTTGCAAAGGCGAGCTCACCTGACTTCATGAGCTTGGAGCAGCCCTGGTTCTCCAGGGTGAGCATCCACAGGGTGACCGCATTGGTCACCGACGACAGGCTGCTCAGGTCAGTCCACAGGGTGGACGCTTGCCTGCACGGAAAAGCAACCTCTTCCACTTTCTTTGGCTCGGGTACCTTCCACCACGCTCTCACCAGCCTCCAGTGGGCAGGACTTTTGGTTTCTAGGTTACGTCATAAAAGGCATCCATCCTGCAGTTGTCCTCCTGTCGGAGACTAGAGTCAAGTACGCTAATGAGGTATCCTCGAAACACTATGTTGGAGTGCCCGTATTCAGTGGAATCTCGTTAATTCAAACTCTTTTAATTCAAACTCGCGGATAATTCAGACTAACATCCAGGTCCCGCCCTATATCGTATTTACTGCAGAATGAACACACTTTTTTTCCCGAAAAATCGATGCAAAGTTGGGGGGGGCGTTCATTACGCAAAGTAAAATTTTTGCGTCCATATTTATTTGCATAATGAACCGACCTTTTATCCTGAAAAATCGAAGTAACTTTTTACCTCTTTGCGTGCGGCGCCCGACCAGGTAACCAAACTAAGCTGTGCACGAAAAAGAAACTCCTCTTTGTTTTCTTTTTCTCTTAGTTCCTCCTTTTTTTTTTTCTGCCGCCTTTCGCAAGCTGTTTTGTTCGCTTAGGCTTGGCTTAGGCGAGGGCTCTCCGCTTATTTTTTTATCTCCTTGCACGCGAGGCACGACCCCCGTAACCAAACTGCGCTGTGCAGAAAAAAAAAGAACAAAAAAAGCTTCCCTTTTTCTTTTTTTTCTCAGTTCCGTGTTTTTTTTTTCCTTTTTGCCGCCTTTCGCAAACTGTTTCGTTCGCTTAGAGCGCTTCTCCGCTTCTCTTTCTTACCTCCTTGCGCGCGAACCCCAAATCCAAACTGCACCGTGCAAAAAAAAAAAAAAAAAAAAAAAAAAAAAGCTTTTTTTTTTTTTTCTTGTTTCCGTTGGATCTTTGCGAATTTTTTTTAACGCCTTTTGCAAGGAATTTTGTTCGCCCACGCTGCCCATGCATTCGCGACCTTGCTGCACCAGGATAGAAAAGTGCGTTCATTTCGCGCGCGTGGAGGGAGGGGGTCAAAATTTTGACATCCGAGTTGGGAGTGCGTTTATTACGCGAGTGAAAAAAAAAGTCGAAATTTTGAGAGCCGACTTGGGGGTGCGTTCATTACGCGAGTGCGTTCATTGTGCGAGTAAATACGGTATGTTTCGAGGAAGGAAACTCCCGGTGATTCAAACTTTGCATTATTCGAACAAAGTTTTGGTCCCTCTCGGGTTCAAATTAACGAGATTCCACTGTATTTGCTTCAGATGCCATTCTGGCCCTACGCGTTTTTGCTATAAAAGAGGTAGTCGAGCATTCAAGACTACCTAATGTCCTTCGAAGTCCACATAACACACCCCGTGGGACGCCCCGAGGATGTCTGCGTTTCGCTAGGGAAGTCTTCGATCCCCGAGTCAAGGCATTTGCGGGATGTGCCTAAAATCTCGACATGTTTAGCATGTCGATACTGTAGCTGGGAATCAATAAATGAAGCCCGGGATGTTGCTTTCAAAAAAAAGGAAGCCTAATTGTGGTGATGGCACGATGAGTGAGCTTCGCATCTTGAAATAGAACTTGAAACATTTTGTCTTTTTAAATGTACGGATGTATAGGTCCAATATATTCTGCGTGACTTCCATTGGTTGTGTTGGACCAGTGGTCTTAAACTCATTTGAATGGGGGGGCCACAGAAACAAAAGACCCCGGTTTAAAGATTTAAAGAAAAACTCGTGCTCCATGTTTTTCGTAAACTCGCAGCTTTTTCTGGAACCTCTTTAGACTTCATTTGTTTATACGACTACTCTGGGCCCTGATCTAATGTGATAAGAATTAAAATGACACCACCACACCAACGTGCCGGCATTTCTAGTAGAACAAGAGAGCAAATACACTGTCACTCCCTTTGCTCAATTCATTCAGAAATTAACCAAGCTCAACGCATCTAAAAAAAATCAGTTAATTTGAGTTTTTGCTTATCTGATGATTTTTATTACAACACTCTGAACAAATATTCGTCTTTTAATGGCTATAATTTTTTGAAGAGGAGAATCCTGAGCTGGTAGCTTTACAGTTGCTCCCATTGAGAGTTTACGTAGCTGAGATACATCCCTCAATGAAGAGCTCGCACTTGCAGCCTAATAGTGAAATTGCTCAACATTACAAAAAACTAAGAAGAAAAGAACAAAGAAAGCAAAACAAAGGGCATATGAACGTAGATAAGTATAAATCATGCCAATACGTCAAAAGAGCAGAGCAACTTTTTGAGCGAGAAGTGCTCGAGACATGGGAACTGGGACTCGTAGCCAGTTGTTGTGTGTTTGAGATCTCTGTTCTAGACCATAATGAGGGCTCTTCGTAGAAAAAAACAACTAAAATTTTTAAAATAACTTTTAAAAAATTTTTAGAGTTTACTCTCGAATCCAAAAGAATTTTTCGCCCAAATAAATTTATTCGACTATATAACGACACTCGTTAAATAGGTATTTGTTTAAGCTTTCATTCGATATACAATTTTTCATAAAATTGATTCTTAGGAAAGTTATCATCATCCAAACGTGGTAAATTACTGCCAAAGGAGCTGGGTTCTGGGTTTTTACAAAAATAAATAAAACTAACAAAGAACTCGTTTGAACACCTTGCACTTTTCATAAAGTTTGGAAGGTCATGGGAAAAGTTTCTTTTGCTGTATAGTTGAATAAAGCCGGGGGAAGCTCCCAAATATGTGACCTGTACCAACTGCCCAAATCCCAAAACGAGTGTTTGGTCCTTTGGAAGTAAAAAGCACTAAAAGTGCAAACACGGTTTCCAGATGGGGGGCCCGGCAGAGATACATCTATTGCGTAGATGACGTGGACATCTACAATATAAACCCTAAGTCATTGTACTTACTTTTTGTATAGAGCTGTTTTCGTTAACCTGTGAAACCTAGGTCTCTTTTATATATGTATTTTACGTATTGCTGTAATCTCTGCAGTTATTTTTGTATCGCCATAGCTGTCTGCCAAGTGCACGGGGCCCGGACCCCGTCAAGTCAACATTTGTTGACTTTTTGTCCGTGGCTCCGGCGTCTGTAACCCATACGGATGCAAAAATAAAAATTATTATTATTATTATTAAAAAAGGAGAAACGTCTCACAGGGTGTGGTGTCCGCCGTAGCAGTGCTCCGGGTAGGCGAGGAGTGCCTGGAGCTCCCGGTGCTCGGCGGGCCCCGTGCTCCACTCCGAGGCCAGGGCCCGGCTGTGCGAGAGCACGTAGTAGATGGTGCCGTTGATCTCGTCCCCATTCAGGGCCCCGTACGCCTTGGACTGGCTGATGCCAAACCCCGTGCTCCAGAGCTGCGCACCACACGGGACCCTTTGGCCTACTCTCGGCACTACGCTCCACTAAAGACGCCGGCCGAGACAACGTGAAGCACGCGAGACATTGTCGCTCTTAATCGTACGCGACTAAAAGTAATAAAAGTAACGAGAGTGATTCACCTGGTGGCCCAACACCTTTGCTCTAAGGAAAATGTGAAAGTGAGTGGCTCGATCGACTGGGTGGGTATTACATACCTTTACGTCCAAGGACCGGTGCTCAGAAGAAACCCAATGCCCGCCCCACCAACGGCTACCGGCAATGGCGGTCGCTGCGCCGGGCTTAGCGACGCCGTGCCAGCAACGATGATCCCGGTATCAAACAGCGTTTATCGCGGGGGTTCTCAAACTTTTTGGTCTCATGGAACCCCAGGAAGCCTCAAAAACTGCCATGGAACACGGCTCCCCCCCCTCCTCTATATTTGCCGACCGAGAAGCAACAGATGCACAATTGTAGGCAATTTTGCTTGTGTTGCTTCCCTTATATCCCCACCATATCAGTCGCAATGTCAGTACAAAGTGAGATGAAGGCGCTTTGCATGGTCCTGCCACGCAGCCTGCGGCAGGAAAGGGGGAGGGGGATTGGGGGAGGGGGGGGGGGGGGGGGGCGGCAAGTCAGGTGTTTGCGGAACCCATGAGACCAGCTTGTGGAACCCCTGTGTTCCCCGGAACCCACTTTGAAAACCCCTGGTTTATCGGATGATCGAAAGTTGCACAAATAAAGGCTGTATGATAATGATGATGATGATACGTTTTTTGGCGGTAAGCAGACAGAACTCCCTGTTTGCAAATGTGGAGCGCTCTGCGAGCACTTCATCTGAAGTCACTCGCCGCATTTCAATTCAATATTTTACGCTACCATTTCTGTCAATCACGACGGCTGCCCCGCCAATTTCTTCGGTGGTACCGAAAAAGAAAGCTACGACAATAATATCGGACGAATGTGGCATTGCCGCGAGTTTACAAATAAGCGATTTCAAGAATCGAAGCGGTACGAGCCCCAAAGCTCCGAGTGAAGTTCTCGTGCTACATACTTGTTATAGAGTAAAAGCACGGCGATCAATTTCCTGGGCGGTAAATCCGAGCCGTGGAATTCTGCCTCCATCGGGAAGGCGTTGATCGCAGGGTCAGCCAGGCGTCGGCGGGCCACTCGGGACGCATCCCATATGGCGAATCCCAGTTACTTCGGCGGGTCGTGTCAGGTGACATTAGGAGTAGAGCAATGCTGGTTGCGGGTAGACCTCATCCTACTTACGTTGACGAGATTGAGCAAACTTGACTGACTTAGTGCAGTGGCAGTACATTTGCGTATTGCTTTTTGAGCAGTACCGAGATAGACTCACGATTGAGAGTTACTCTCGGTAACTCCAGCAAGCGCTTTGTGTGTTGCTTCAAAACAATAAAATATTTAAAAAAATATTTTTTGTTCTTTCTCTGTTTTTGCAGTTTTTGGGTTTGCGTCAACTTGGTATGTTTTCTGCGTAGTGTCCGATCGTTGTTCTGCGGTTCTGTTGCCATGTTTTGTCTGTTGAAGAATCAGCATTAGAAATATCGTCATTGGAAGCAGCGACGCGATGAGCATCAGTGGCCCGCTGCGCAGAGGCAGGCCACCTACGGTTTTCCAAGAATCAACCTTTTTTTTTGCGATTTTTCGGTTTTCAAGGCTTGCGTCGTTCACATCGTACGATTTCCTGGTTAACACATTTTTTCCTGATGTTTTTAAAGAAACGTATTCGCAAGGTTTTACTGTAACTAGTGTGAAAACATTAGCTGTAGTGTTCCATGAGCACATGTTACGGGACACTCATGTTACCACCCAAATTCTATTCTCGGTTATCTTAATGTCAGTCTGGGGAAATTGTACGAACATAAATAAAATGTTTTTGTCACAGAAAAAGGGCATTTGCGTCGTAGCCAATGCTCATATTACTCTCATATTGAATCACTCTTCCATAAACACAGTCAAGAGAAAAAAAATATTAGGATTATAAACTCGCTACAATGTACGAGACATAAATTTACAAATCATCCGTTTCAACCAACTCGTAGCTGGAGGAAATATTGCGTACGGATTGTCAGCACCGGTTCCGGGCGAGTGCCCTGTCCCAGGAAACTTCACACCACTGAACTTTTTAGACGAACATTGAACCCGCAAATCGAAAGGCGACGACCAATATTTTTTTTCTCTCTAGCTGCATATAATTTTTCTCGAATGATTCGTTCCAGCCTGCCAAGGGAAAAAAACTGCATAAGGGAGGCTTCTCTCCCTGTCTCGTCAGCCCTGTTCAGGGGGTAAAACAAGAAAGGATGACAAGCTTGATCGTGCTGACACAGATCGGTAAGCACAGAATATATGATTCCAGAAAAGAAAAGAAGCCCGTCTCAACCCACTGAAGATTTATTATAGTTTCTGACACGCCGCAAGATGGCGCAGCACAAGAGGAAAGGACAGCTCCCTCGTGCGCCTTCCTAAAGACTTTGCTTTTGAGTCATCCGACCTACGGCCCTGGATAGGAGAGTCAGCAAAGCACCGCAGAATACTGAGCATCTGCCCAGTCCACATTAAGCGCCCATTCCCAAATTTGTGAAATCTGAGGAAATACGCACAGTACATTTATATATAGAATTGATGACCGGACAAGCGCCCATCCCCCATTCTCTCACGATTATTTCTAAATTTTGAGCTTGCCCGGTATTTTACGGTAGCTTACAATCTCGAGGTGTTGTAATCCTGCCAGGGGACTCGTGTCTCTTTGTATGGTTCCCTAAGGGTATAATGCTTTTCGGCGTTTGTTACAGCGTTTCAGCTTGCTACGAGCCCCTCTCCTCGCCAGACAACTTGCACATACCTGATTCCAGGCGTCGACGTGCATGTTGCGGAGCACATGACTCTCCAGGCTCACCACCCTCTGCATCTCCTGCCAGAAGACACACATTGCTCGTACAGGGGACACCCACGACGCTTGACCGACACAGTTCCAGAAGACGGCAATGACCCGGCTAGACACCCACATACCCACGCTTGAGCAAGGGGCTTTTTCTTGCCTGCCGGCAGTGGGTGCAACCAATTGATCACGTGGCACCGGGCACAACAGAATGCGGCGGCACGGCACCAGAACTCTGGCAATACCAGAGTTGGGGTGCCACATGAAATACCTACAGCAAAATCCCAAACGAATGCCCATTTTCGAGAGATAATTAATAAAAAATATTGGGAAAAATAAAAGCTTATTAAAAAGGAGCACTCCCGTGGAAATGCACAGCACAGTGCAGCACAGTCAGAGCGATAGGTGCGACACGTCACACCCAAGTCGTTTCCTATTCATGCACCTCACTGTTCACATTGTGACCAAAGGCCAGCGTTACTTTCAGCGTCTCGAAACAAGAGTGACGCCAAGAGGCACGTGTCTGCTGGTTTGCAGCATACTCATCTCGCTTGGGAGTGTCTGCCGCTTGGGGCAACTCGCGAAATAATGCCCCACTTCTATATTTAATAAGTCCAGAAGCGGGTGACGCTACGAGGACCGATCTAGCGGCATCAAAGCTGCAAATCTCTCTTTTCTGGTCATAACTGGTTCAGCGATGATAGTACAGAAACATGATGCGCTTTGGATGCTGTACGAATGGTCCCGTCAGCTGGTAGCATCGGCTGCGTCTGTACTTAAGGTCAAACCAGGCATATTGGATACGACTGTTTGAATTGGGCTTGCACCACCCAGCTCAAGTTCTTAATTTCGGTTAAATCTATAAATATTTAAGAATGACAAAGGATTTTCTGTCGCGACTTGGCAGCAACTGCGGCCATCTAGCGGGCACTGCACGAGAATCATACCCTCATTTTGGTTCCACAAATATCGTATACAGAGAGGATTGTCAAAGCTAGGGCACCTTCACGCTTTGAATCCTTACAGCGATAGCTCAACTGTGCTCTTCCCACTGCTGGAAATGACGCCCATTGTAGCTGTATTGTTTGTGTAGCTGTCGCAGGAGGGTGTAAGGTCTAGGGCGTCCATTGTTCATGTTGCCAAATCCCCGAAAAAGATTGCCCATCGCCCGCAAGATTGCATCCTGGGTCTGCCACATGGGAAGCAGGTGTGTTACCACACAGCTCAGCCACAACTTTGACAAGGGTGCCTCAATGTTTTTTTGTTTAGGGTGATGCCATTCTTTGTAGTACCCAATGCCGTCGGCGCGCACTCTCCGGAAAAATACCGAAAAATATCCGATAACAAAATGCCGCAGTAGCACCGTCAATGCCTCGAGCCTTGTGCTGGAGGACTCGCCTTCATGCACTCCAGAATAAAAGAGGAACAAAATGGTCAGATGTCATCACCCCAAGCAAAGCGTGCATGAATGCACCCTAGCTTTGACAATCCTCTTCATATACGACATTTGTGGAACGAAGACGCGAATCGCGTGCACTGCCCGCTGCACGAGACTGAGCTGTGGCTACAGTTGGTACCGAGTTCAATTTAAGCGGAGTTAAAATTAAAAGAACTTGAGCTGGGTGACGCAAGCCGCCTCCCGATTACGGGGGTCCATCCAATGACACCCAGAAGATGTGAATTACGTCATTGTTAATGAATCCCGCCCCAAGCTCCAAACGCACTCGAGCTTCACGAGAGAATGACGCAAACCGGCAGACACGTCCATCTTGGCGTTACCGCCTGCGTGCGTTGCACTTGTTGCGAGCCGAAGGACACGACGACGGTTGCCGTTCGTCGCACGTGAAGTGTGTGGTCTTGAGAACAAAGCCAAATGAGGCCCTCAAGACTCCACGGTGCATGACGCCGATGGCCAACCACTTTGCTGCGACTGTACTCTAGATTAACGCGGGACTGCTAAATTTTTTTTTTTCCAGAGCGCCCGAAGGAGCATTTTTCGACGCGAGCTTTTGGCATTGACAGTGCTACGGCGGCATCTTATTGTCCGCTATTTCTTTGCATTTTTCTGGAGAGCGTGTGTCATCAGCATCGGGTACTACGAAGAATGGCGGCACCCTAAACAAAAGTACACCGATGCACCCTAGTCAAAGTTGTGGCCTGGCTCACCGATAACACGCCTGCTTCACACCCAGCCGGGGACTGCTGTCATTCCCTACCTGCGCGAGGTATCTCGTAATTTGAAAAAAGCAGGAGTCCGGCACGGCATCCCGGTAATGTTTTCCGCCCCCTAGAGAATCAGCCAGGTTGGTTCGAGGGTCAACTCGAAGGTGGAAGGGCTACCAAAAAATGGGTGCAGCAAAAAAAAAGCCATACCGTTTGTGTCTTGTACTTTGGGTGTTGTACACAGGACACCCCTCTCTTGCGGCAAGGCCTATATAGGACAAACCGGTGGATGCTTAAACGATGGGCTCAGGGAGCACGACTATTCCCCGAGAGCTACGGTCGGCGGTCATCTAACGCTGTGGGACATGCAAGTGCAGACCATCCCTCGGTGAGACCACAATGTTACGAAGGCACCGAGATGAGGTGACGAGAGAAGCGCCAGAGGGCTTTCACACTAGTAAGTACAGAGTGCAACCTGTCAGCAATCCATCGGTGGCATAATCGGGAAAAGAAATGCTTTTCTTGACTATGAATGGGGGTGAAGTGATGAGAGTGGTGCCGAAGCCCTTTGTGACGAGACAGTTTGGGTGGTTGCATGTGTGGTTGAGTGCGCCTTCTATCTTCTCCCTTTTTCTGTTTTCATTATTAAACACTTAGCTGCGAGTCAGCGCTCGTTCTATGTTGTATGTTCCTTTCTCAGTCCCCGTTACGCGCGGTTACACCTGCACCATGTTTGACCCACGTGGAATCCCGCGGACTGCGGGCAACCTTTTTCGAGGATTTGCAAAGATTGATGACGGACACCCTATGCTCTACTACAGTTACATCAACAACTACAGCTACGATGCATGTAATTTCCAGAGGTAGGAACAACCCATAACAGCTATTACCATAAAATGACCAACAAACACGGGGGCACCCGGTACCAACCACTTGGCACAGGAACTGATAGTGTAGATCACGGACAAAACAGATTTGCGTTACACGGCGAGATAGACATGCAAGAACGCGCTGAGAATTGCCGTATCGCGGGAACCAATATTGTGCGTGAAGATTGCCGACACAGCAAACTTGGGTTACTTGGTGCGATAAACATGCGAGAAACTGTTTGAACTCGCTCGTCACATGCACCGGTACTGCATAGTGCGCAGTTAATGTGATTCTTATCAAACGTTGCGTGACGTCCGGAGGGAATCGGGTGTGGGATATTTAGCCTATAGATATTCAGCTAGAAAAACGACACGGGCTATCTCTCGGGGCAGGGCGTTCTACGGGATTTTGCCCACGCTGTAGAGAGGCAAGAACTTAGAACAATAACAAAGCTTGTACTGGAGACACATCAAGCCCTGGCATCACGATACAAACATATAGGTGGCAGTGGCAGCATTCTTTCAGGCAACAAATATAAAATCACAAAAACTCACATTCCTTTTATTTGTTAAGACACCCAGCACAATCATGTCTGGTAAACCCAGTTAATATGAATACCCCATAACATGGACAAAATGTTCGAGGACAAACTTGGCAAATAAATTAATTTTTGCCTCGTTATTATATGGACAACTCATATCACGGACGCTTTTTGGGAGCGAATGAAGGTATCCATATTAATGAGACATGAAAGTACACGAAAAGAGCTCAATCTTAAAGACAGTTTTATTTCTTTGTTGTTTTAGAGCGCAGCTCTTAGGTGCCCGCTTCCGGCTTGAGCAGCGTCGCCGTCGGCGTAACCCTAACGCTTTTTCGTGACGCGTCGGCATTGGCGTAACGGTTTTTCGTGACGCGTCACCGTCGCCATAACGCATCGGCATAATGCTTTTTCGTGACACGTCGCTGTTGCCGTAACGCATCGGCGTAACGCTTTTTTGTGATGGGTCGGCGTCGCCGTAATGCATCGGCGTAATGCTTTTTCGTGACGCGTCACCGTTGCCGTAATGCATCAGCGCAACGTTTTTGTGATGCGTCGGCGTCGCTGTAAAGCATCGGTAATACTTTTCGTGACGCGTCGCTGTTGCCGTAACGCATTGGCGTAACGCTTTTTTGTGACGCGTCGGCGTCGCCGTAATGCATCGGCGTAATGCCTTTTCGTGTCGCCGTTGCTGTAGCGCATCGGCGTAACGCTTTTTTGTGAAAGCGTCGGCGTCGCCATAACGCATCGGCGTAATGCTTTTCCGTGACACGTCGCCGTTGCCATAAAGCATTGGCGTAATGCTTCTTTGTGACGCGTTGGCTTCGCCGTAATACATCGGCGTAATGCTTTTTCGTGACGTGTCGCCGTAACGCTTTTTCGTGATGCGTCGGCGCTGCCATAACGCTTCGGCGTAACGCTTTTTCGTGATGCGTCACCATAGCCATAACACTTTTTCGTGACGCGTCGCCGTCGCTGTAACGCTTTTTTGTGACGCGTCGTCGTAGCCGTAACGCGTTGCCGCAACGGAAACAAGCAAAGCAATGGGACACGAGAGAAACGAAAGAAAAGCCAGACTTAATTGATAAGCTGTGGCATACCTCTCTCACAACTGGATCACGTCCAGTCTACTTCCTTTCGTTTGTCTTTCGTCCACTAAACTTGCCTACCTTACTACTTTGATTCAGTTCCACCCAGAGGATAAATTTTTGGAGCATTACTTTTGGCATGAGTTTGGCCAGAAACCAGCCAACCACTCACATCCTTGAGGAATGTCTTCACTTGTGTAATTGTGGCTGGATACTGGTCCGACTTCACAGGTGCCGAGTACTCAACCAGGGTCTGGATTCTGAGCACTGTCGAGCTAGCAGTTGGAAGGAAAACGAGGTAAAGTATCAACATTTGGCTTCTAAGACAAACAGGGTTCTCCCCAGAAATTTTTTAGGGGTAAACATATCCACCATGCGAGTGGTGGTGGGCAGTGGGGGGGGGGAAGTGTAGATTGAAATGCGGCACGATCTGGCTAGCTGACAGAACGCACTTTATGTAGGCTCTCTAACTTTGCGGCCTGTGAGTGGTGCCACGTTGACGAAGGAATAGGCAATGGCGATCGCTTCGCTATAGCCACTATTTCGTTACAACTGACTTCGTTATAAACAGGTGCGACAGTACACTAAATCATACTACGATTTTTAACGATCCTAAATTTAAAAGTGTGCCCCATACACCAATATCATTTCTGCAAGAGAGCTCTAGCTGACCCCGTCTTTTCTTGGTCTGTCGGCATCTGTGCTTACATGGTGTCATGCCATTCAGAGATGCTGTTGCATGTGGAGGTGCATGTCCACCAGGAAATTTTTGATCTTGCACAAAATTTTGGTTTGTCATAGTGCTGCGTGCGTGACTGAGAAGCAACGCTTCTCCGTACATCTTGGAAGTTTGTGTTTATCCTTACCCCGAGCGTAAAAGACAAGAAGGCCAGAATGACCTTGCCTAGTCAGCCTCGCCCTAGCTCACTCAGTCTCTCCAACATTCGACCTAGAAAGTTTGCAAGGGAGTTAGGGCGAGACTGACTAGGCAAGGTCATTCTGGCCTCCTTATCTTTTACATTCGGGATAAGAATAAACAGGAATCTTCTAGATGTACGGAGAAGTGTTCCTTCTCGGTCATGCACACAGCAATAGCACTGTTCTAACTTCTCCTCTGCTGGTGTTTTTATGGTTTGTGGCACACATAAAATGTCTGTCCCGGTCTGGGACAGCACAAAAAGTTCCAACGAGCACCTGTCAATATTCTACGACTCGGAGATGAAACGTCGCTGTAGAAGATGAAGTCGGAGGATGCAATATTATCCAGTTGTCACTGCTGCAGTAATCCAAAAATTAAGGAGCAAAAGCAATCAAGTTACACGATTGAGGCTACGTTTGTAGCAATCCCCGATGTCAGCAGGATGCCATGTTTGACAAGTGTCACCGTCGCGCGGAGATTTATTTTCAACAGTTCACCAGCTTGGGAGAAAGCGCAAAAGTGAAACCGAAGCTGTAGTCCTTCGGCTATCCACGATATGCCGCAACGTGGTGCTGCGTGCCAAATTCAAATTTTAGTGGAAACCATAGATCACAGGTAATTGATGGCCAACAGATAGGTGCCTGTTTTTGCGCCTGCACACATTCTCTTCCCACGTGATATAAGTCGTCGGTGTACTTTTACTCACGATTACATATTTACTTGGTGCACCCTCTCTTAATAAATAAGAAACGTGTTCAGACAGCGTTGGTCAGCCTCAGCGGGCGCCTGGTGTCTCAACTGTACATCGGCCAGTGCAGTACAACCTGAGGTGTTTATCATGCACCAGGCAGTACTGCTACATGCCAATACAATGCTCACATGCTCATTCAGATAGAAATAGACAGGGGTGGAGACTGAACCCAGGATCTCTGGGTTTCGGTCCACACGCTCCAAGCTGTGGTGCGTTCAGACACTCGGCAAGCGATCCATTCGCTCTTCAACACATCAGTTTTAAGGTTGTAATTCAACGCGTAATTCTGTTGCACTGTGCAAAGTGTTACGTTGGTTTTCAAATATATGCAAGCATTAAAAAAACTCCCATTAACCTAAGGATTTGTTCCCATGGCATGGCCCTCAAACCTGTTTCATCCCTCAGCCATCCACAGCTACAAGTGCGAAACCTCAGAAACGTTCTTCCACGGAAGGAGTTCTTGTGGCTTGCGATGCATCGCTTCCAGTCTCCCTTGAGAAGACTGAGCTCTTCGAGTGTAGTCTTCATCTGTGGAGGTTGGAGGCCGGGATGCAGAGGGAGCTTGAGGCTTATTTAAATCTTGCATCACAGCTTCGTGAGCCTTCACATTGCCTGGGATGTCCGTGTTCCCGGAAGCGGATGCACATTTTGATAGCGTGGTTCCGAACTAGGCGCAGTGCCGTCGTGAAGACGTCCGCTGGACGTGTGATGGGGGTTCTTGAGTGTGTGTATTGTGCAAGTCTGTGGAGATTGTTAGTGCGCCTCCGTGAAGTGGGGCTTCTTTCTTGGCGTGTTCTTCGTGAGTCTGTAGTGTCGGGAGCACAGCACGGGCCTTGGCAAGGTCAGGTGAGGAGGGTGCTGAGTAGACCGCAGCGTGGACTACGGGGTCGGTTTCACGAGAGGGGACGGCTGCAGCGGTCACGCCGGCGTGATTGAGGGACGTGTCTGTGTAGGCGATTACGTTCGTAGGGTCTAGGAGAAGGGCAATTAGCTTAGTGTTAACGTGCGTAGTGCTCCTTTCGTTTCTTGTGGCATTTGGGATTTATATTGAGTGGTAGGGGGCCGGCTTGCTGGGTAGGGTCAATTAGGTCCCACGGTGACTTGGGTGGAGGGAGTGCGCTCTGGTTTGTTATCTGACATTAAGGTTGGGGGCAATGGCCCGCTCCTGAGGGGTGTCCCAAGCGAGCAAGGTGCACATTTTTCTGTTTCTTTAGAGTGGTTTGTATGTCAACATGGTGTATGCTATTCTGCAAATCTCCATTGCGCTTGAAAGCTGCGACACGCCAGCAGCCGAGGAAGGTTAAAGGGGCCCTGTGAGCACTTTTTTACTGGTTTTTAATTTGCACCGAACCTGAGTGCACTGAACGTAATAACTTAATAAAACTTTTCTTTTCTCGAATTTCGCTTTATTTTATAAGTTATAGGCAAATTAAAATTACAAAAACAAGCAGAAAATAACCTTCTTCAAGACATCCTTGGTTGCTTGAGTGGTCGTGAACTAGAGGAGGGGTAGTGACCTCATGCGAGCGCTCACGGCTGCGGCACTCCGTGTCGATGGCACGAGAGAGCGCCACTAAAGCATGTTCTGGATAGGCTGTATACAGTGGGCAGCGGCTCTCATTGCATTTGCTGCGCGATTAAACACTAATTCGGCATGACACTTCATTGGCCACAAACGACAGCAAACACAGGGTAAAGATCACTTCAGAATGGGGGCCACTTCGCGCTGCCATACCGCGAAATGGCCAAACCGCAAGACAAAGCTCCTTGCCGAAGGCTTTCGGAATGCTCAGAGCCGGTCAGATCCTCCAGTCCAAAAACGACCGCAGTGTCGCCGTGTACATCTGGGACCTTTCCATGTCGGCGCCTGATCCCACTACTCCTTTTTAATATGTGCCGCCTTTTCCACCGCTTGGTGGCGGGTATGTCGACGGGTCATTTCTTGTTTCCATACTTTATAAACTGCATTTGTTTCTTTTCTGATCTAAAATACTGAACAAGATCTACTTTCATGGATAATTGAAACGGTTCGCGCCACTTATATTTTGTATTTCGACTAAAAAGAAGCTTCTAGCGGCTCTGACCAGCGGTAAGCCAAGTACCAAAGACGTCGCATATCGCGCGCTTTCGGTACTGCGGGTCGCCACCGTAGGTGGAGGAGGTTTCCGCATCGTCCAGTTAAAATGTGACGCACTGATATTTAGTTACTCTCTCCGTGCCCGCTGGCTTGCCCGAACCCCAAGAGACGTTAAAACCGCAAAAAAGGTAGACGCTTAAATATGCTTGCAGGGCCCTTTTAAGGGCGACCGGAACGCGGAGGAAAACTGTCCTTGTGTGGAAAAGTAGCATTGTTGAGTACCTTTTTGCTTCGACCGTGATGGTGTTCGGCAGCTTCGGGGTGACCAGTGCAAACACGACGAAGCTGTCCTTGGATGCCCTTGCCGGCACTTTCCCATGCCAAACAATGTTGTCCTGGCCGTACCGGTCCTTGATCCTAAGGGCAGAAGAAACTCGTCAGTACTTCACCTCTCTAAGGTCAAATGTTTTCGGGTATCTTTAAGACCGAGGCATGAAAATGCGCTTCCCTTTTCTTTCTATAGCAAAGTGGGAAAAAATTGGGCTTCATTCAGCTGAGGGCACCTGAATAGAAGTTTGAGTGGAAACTGGTAGATCATCTTTATAGTGAACACTACACCCAGGATAGAAGCATAGCCAAGCAAAGTTGAAGAATGTCTGTAATACCGCTAAGGTAAAAGATCATTCCACTCGTGCGGCGATTGTGCCGTCCCGTTTGTTTACTTTGATTACAGCTGTGCTTTCTTAGCATTTGTGTCCTCAAACATCACCCGGATTTCTTATTTTGCGGTTCAAGTTGAAGGTATGACTGGTGCATGTTGTATTTAAAGGCATGTTATGAAGGATGCAAATTTTTGCGCATTTTCATCACCCGAGAGATGTTATTAGTGTTAGCACTCTTGAATGATTGCAATGTCTATGTGATCACGAAATCATATTTTTATGTTGCTATATCTCTGCTAAGATTACATTGTCTTTTGCGATGGTAGAATTTGCATGTGGCGAGATTTGTAGTATCAGTAAAGTCGTGTTTTAAAGTCGTGATCGTCCAAGACGGTGTACTGCATCTTTTTCTTTTCTTTTTTTTCATTCGCTCTGCCCTGCGAGCCTATCCTGACAAAATAAAAGTTAGTAAAGCTTGAGCCCATAGAAAACTCTGCGCATTTCCTGCTATGCCAGTGAGTGACAGCGTGTCCCTTGCTTTTTAGAGATACCGCGGAAACGGCTGACGGCAGCGGAGAAGCGGCTGCTGTGCTAACGACCTGCTGCACTCCGTACCAGCGTATGGGACCAGTCCCATGCTGTCCCTATAGCGCAACATATCTCATTGAATTTCGCTCAGCTGCGAGTGTCCATAACACGGAACCATGTGAATACTGGACGGTGCTGCCATCCATTTACACTTCGGTTCATTCCAAAATGAGACGTTCCGTGCATGTCGTACATAACAACCTCGCGTGTCTGATACTCTTCGCAGTGATGGCAATCAGAGCCCTGCTGATTCTGACATCCAATGCGGATTCAGGGGGAGCGAGCTGGTCATCCAGTCAAAGGGATTGTCCGGTCAAATTTGTATTTGAGAAAACAATTGAATATCATTGTTATTGCCTGGAGATGCATTGTATGTGCACTATCTGAATTTTATATGCCTCTCTGCACGAGTAATGGGCCTTTTCCGGGGTTTCCACGGCGCATGCGCGGCAGCAGCAGACAGGAGTCCGCCATTTTTGGTGGCGTGGTGCGTCCGGCTCGGGACTGCTGGAGGCAGCGGTGGTCGCGCGTTTCGAAGTTCTCTGACAGGCCCTAGCGTTGTTTCGTTGTTGTTGTAAACATTAAAATAACCCACAGTTTTCAAATATTTATAAATCACTGAGGTAAAGTGGCTATGCTGCACAGTTTGTTGCTATGTGCACACCCAGAAAGTGAAATGGGAGCAGATCTATCACTACCACGACCTCATCTGCTGGTCTTGTGGTTAAATAAGAAAGAGGTAACAATTGTCATGATGTGTTGTCGTCGTGTATGTATCGAATAAACAAAAATAAGTTTTCAACATTATCCAAAAACGCGAAACTATAAGAAAAAATAAAACAGGTGTGGCCGATTTTGTGTTTTTTTTCTCCAGGACCTACGGTCACACAGAGCTGTAGCCTGAAGTGGGGTGACATCAATGATGAGGCTCGCTCAGAAATCGGTGGCTGCACGTATTAATCTTGGATATTTAATAAACATGTATTTTAGTGGTGAATTTGACCTTGTGAAATTTCAAAGTGTTAATTGCTTCCTTCCAGTAAAAAACGAGACCAACAAACTCGCCAGGTTCAGCGGCACTTGCAAACAACATTTAATATAGTCGCTGAACAAGTCCGCCGTTGACCTGGCCAAGTTTGTTGGCCTCATTTTTTAATAGGAATAAAGCGCAACGTTGAAATTTCACAAGGTAAAAATCACCTCTAAAATACACCTTTGATGAGAATTACATTGGTACATTCAGGCGCCGAGTTTTTTTGGACTGTTTAGAGTAAGCTTTCACATTTATGAGAAAACATTGTGCCAATTAAAATTTTTGAGCAAATTAAAAAAAATACCATACATAAAAAAAAAGGCTTTCCTTAACTGTAACTTGGTCTCAAATATTTTCCGAATTTACTGCCGGTATTTCATTTCACATGAATCCTAGTTTAATGTAACCGTTTGTACCTTCTCGTAGGTCGAAGAGAGCTTCAACTGTGCCGTCACTTACAATGGGTGCCACGGCAAAGTCAGTCAATTATTCATTCGGAAAAAAAAAAATGTACAAACGGACGAAGTTGTCCGTAGTTAACGCATTAATTAAAAATAAATCTGCCGGTCTACTGTGTTGGATAGAGGGAAAACAAACGCCGAGCACCGAGCGCATTTACTGACCGCTTTCAGACAGCCAACATAGCTTGGACCGGGCAGAACCGGAAGCGAGGCAGGCCGTCAAAAACGTCTCTCCTGCTTGCCGATAGATGGCGCCCAACATTTGCGGAAAAGGCCCATTGAACTTATACTGTTCCAATCGCATCCTAGCATAAATGCTGCTTTCGTTGGGAACACTAGAGCTCTGACGTCACACAACGCAAAGCGAGCATTTCCGTCTCGTCGTTTGCCTGCGAGTGAACGCCGCAGCGTGCTTCGTTTTTGTTGTTGCGCTCGACCAGTTTTGTGGATAGGTGGGATTTTTGTTGCATGGTTGGGTGCCACAACCATTGGGCAGCGCAAGCGAGCCTAGACGTGACGTTCCACACTTTTCCGCGAGACGTGCAGTGACGAGCCAAATGGATCGTCGCCGTGCATAGGGACTGGGTTCCTGTCAAGCTAGAGATCCCGCTTATGCAGCTACCATCTCACAGAAGAGAGCCACGAGCTGAGCTCTAGGCAACCAGAAGGCTCGTAAGCTGAGGTGTGATGCTGTGCCAATGATAATCAACTACGTCCACCTACTCCTCGCCCAAATCGGATCAATCGGTTTGATTATGCAGTGAAACCGAAACCAACAGCTACGTCATTTGGAAACGACGCCAAAAGTTGTATTTAGCACGCGTGCAGCCCGATTCTGTTTGACCTGCGTGCGAAAATGGAGTGTGGCTACGATTCGCTAAGCTCGTCCAAGTCAAGTGACGACATGCATTTGAACGATTGGCCGTTTGCCTTTGACCTGCGGACGTTGCCTCCGAGCGCAAGGCCCGCAGCCTCATCACCCATTTAATGGATCCGCCGATATGTGTATCCAGATGCCGCTTCGTATACCTAGGTGCCACTTCAGAGGCAAAATCTGCATCCCTTGCTTTGCAAGCGCTCCTAGTTCGATCGGTGGCCGTCGTAGTTGTGTTTGCGCGAAACGGCATATGTTTGCTCGAAAGTTATGGCTGCTTCTGAGTAATATCCTGCTAAAAGGCGTGATTATTTTTGCACACCCTCGAGAACAGCATTAAAAGGAACATATTTGAGTAGTGCACAGCCTAGGAGACTATATAATTCTAAACAAAATACAAGACATCTATCGACCAACGCTTCTTATCCCGACCATCCAACAAACCTTAAGGTTTTGCAACGTCACGCAGCGGCTACGGATGTCAGCCATTAACACTAACGAAATTCGGGATGCAGTTTTGTACATACGCTCATGGCAGGTTAAATTAATAAGATCATATATGAAAATAAAAATAATGTCTGTCTATATGAAGGCTCCCACGACGTAACGAGCGCAAAAACTTAAGTACTTCCAGTTTCGACCGGACAATCCCTTTAAGATCCAGAGGTTATGGTTGCCGGAGCGTCGTGCAAGCGGCAAAAGAAAACCGTATGGCAGAAAAAACGTCTCAAACATTCAATGCTCCTCAAGCTGGGTATTTTGCCAGCACTGTACAGTTAGGCACCTGCACTCCAAATTATTTCTCTAGCGTCCCATTAGTCAAAACCAAACCACTGGGGACTTTCCCTGTGAAAAAACGTCTTCTGAAAAACTAAATAAAATTGGCTAACGAGCAGCTGGGAAGAGTTTACGCACCCAAGAGGCTTTGCCTGGAGATTTTCGGTGGTCGAACCTTTCTGCTCGACGCCAAACGTGATTGGGTCACTCTGCAAAACAAAATCCCCGTGTGAACAATCCACACAAAGTAGGAACCTTTCAATCTAAAATCTCATTGTGTGGGAGTTCACGTCCGAACCCCACGGTCCCCTGGCTCCAACTGTTAGTTTTATTCCCCGCGCCACCCTCAACCGGCACGCATCGCGGAACTTGTGCAGCGAGCTCAGAAAAAGAAGAAAAATAATTTCTTATATCCCTTACGGGGCTCCCCCCTGGCAGCATGGATTGCGGAAACAAAAAGAGAATTGTAGTTGATCCAATGGTGGCAATAAAAAAAAAAAAAAGTGGCAAGTTACTTGGACTATGAAACAGGTGGTTTCTAAAAGTTGCTCAGTGTATGGAGGATGACAAGTTGAGTCCTGAAATCTGGGTTTGGTGCGGTCCATTGAAATGGTTTCTTGGTGTCCATTCAGTAATGGACCAACTACACTAAAACCTCGTTATAACAAAACGGGATATAACAACAATGGGTATAAAGAAGTAATAGTAATTCCCCCTGAAACTCCCATAGAAGCCCATGTATTTAAAACCTCGTTTTAACGAAGCAAAAATTTCCTTGCAATGGGTATAACGAACCATTCTTTTCTAGAACTAAATGGTTATAACAAAGTACTAATTACAGCCCCCTTTCAACTTCTTTATAACGAGGTGGTAATTCAAAACTCCCGCGCGCTAAAAGCCGCAAACTCCCGTGCCCTAAAATGTCTAAAAGTCGCCTGGCAACATGCACGAGCGCGCTGAGTTTCCGGCCTCCCCTTCTTGTGGAACGACGACAAGCGGAAGCGAAAAACAATCTCGATCGTGCGTGCGTGCTGTGACAGGGGTGCCTGATGGGGTCAGCGACTAATGTGTCAACGACAGCGAGGAGCCGAATGTGCGAGTCCGACGTACCGACGTCCGCGCAAGCGCTGGATCTGCTGCGCCGCTTTTTTGGCGCTCACGGTGACGGCGAGGATGGACTCGAGATAGCAGCTGCCACAGAAGAAGCGATCATTCGCCCGAAGAAGACGCGGCAAACATTGATCATGGACTTCTTTGCTGCGAAGTGAGCCGCAATAGTACGGACCATTCAGCGATGTGATGCACTGATAAAGTCGTATATGATCGCCGTTTTTTTTCTTCTTTCGTTTGTGTTTTTCTCCATGCCACGGTAGTTTGCTCGCGTGGCAGGCTTCTATGTCAGATTCGGTGGTGAGTACATCCTTCCTAGCTTGCCCATTTGTAGTACAAGTGGAACAATGGCTCTAACAAACTAATCGTTATAACGAAGTAATTACGGCTCCCCCTTCAACTTTGTTATAACGAGGTTTTACTGTAGCCCAAACCAAAGTTTAAATGCATTGCAATGGTTTCTTGGTGTGCGTGGATGTCAAGAGTCGTGGTTTTCTCGGCGGTCCGAGTATGTTAATAGGTCCATCATATGGCGGCAAGAGACTCTTCTTAACTTCTTCTGGGACGAATGCACGTGTGCAAGTTTTCAGTTCTTGACTAACGAAGACGTTCTGAGAACGGGGCATCGAAGGTGGTCTAAGCTGCAGTTCTTAAATGAACTGCCTTAAGCCATCTAAGCACGCTTAGTCTGGAGAACGTTGGGGCACCCTAGGTGGCGTCTCTCCAGGAAGCCGGAGCGCCAAGCCATACACCAATTCTGCCGAGGTACGTGCATTCCAGGTTTTGCTTGAAAGCGGATCATATGCCAAGGAGGACAAATGAGAGATGATGGACCCAGTTGAGTCGTCAGCCAGCGATTGCTGCTTCGAACTGTTGGTCAAACCTTATTACCGTTTGCAGATGGGCGGTACGAGGAAGTGTGCACGAGGTGCGTGCCGATTAGCTGGCCTAAGGCAGCAAACAACGAGCATTCAAAATGGCGACCCCGGTTCATAGTCCGCAGCGACTGTGGATGGACATCCAAATCTCAACAAACGTCTCGGCGATCGTCTCGGCAGTGATGTCGGATGGGGGAGTAGCTTCGGGCCACCTGGCGTAGTGGCTGCTGCAAGTCAGGATGTTGTGAAGCCTGTGTCTGCGTCTCTTCTACTTGTCCTTGTGTTCGTTTGCCCTGTTTTAATTACTTGTTTACTATGCACCACCGACTAGCCCACCTCCATACATTACTGTTGTGAAGCCCCGGCACGAGAGGGGCCCCGAAGATTGAGGTGAACATGGTTGAATTGTGCAGCAGGGGCACAGAACGGCACAGGTGGCATGACAGTGTGTCGGCTCACCTTAGAGCACCGACAATGAGGGCAGCTCCTGGCCTCGCACACCCGCATTGATTGTAGGCCACACATAGCGAGCTGTCACCAGTCGCCGCGTGGCTCGGATGGCTGACGTTGCGGAGGTGGTCGAAAACCTGCGGACAAAGAGCCAACGGGACGAAAGGCCTAGGATGTCCGACGGTCACGTCGCGGAGGATGGTACCGGTGCAGCGAGGGAGGGAAATCTGCTTCAACACCAAAGACTCGAGCGCCTCGGAATGGTTAATCAACTCGGGGTCGTCTCGCTGCGAGGCAGTGACCTGCTCCAAGTCTACGCCTCCAGAGAGCGCTGCGAGAGCTTCGACGCGGAAAAGAGCATCCGCTCCCGAGTTTCCTCGACACGACGGAGATCTAGCAAGGATTTTCGGATTTCTCGGGAGCAGCATGCAGTGTGATTGCCACGAAGAGGCTCATCAGGACGTGGAACTCGTGACCTTCCTTACGGCAAGCTAGATGGTAAGGAGTTCACGTCCCAACGTATCCTATCGCGTCTCTCTTTTTTTTTCCCTGAGAAGAAACGTTTACCACTCGCTGTCGAGAAGCTGCTGTAGTACACAACCTACAGCTGCAATGGAAGACAAGCAGGGTTGCGTTGGAAAAGGCTTCTTTCATGGCAGAAAAAGCTGACATAACTTCATTTGTCTATTAAACTGATGATGATGGCCCTTTCTTGGTCTTCCGCAAGTCCGTCACGAGCTGTAGAATTTCGGCATACTGGTTAATAAATCTATGGTGGAAGCCCGAGAAACATGCGAAGCGTTGTACGTTGAAGGAACTCGCGGATTGCGCAAACTTTTTCTTAGGGTGGTAGGATGCCAGATGATGTTACACCATGGCCGAGAAAGTCCAAGGCATCCACTCCAAAGACAAACTTTTTCGCGTTGATGACAAGGCCGCACTGCTGCAGCCGGTCGGACAGGAGTCGCAGATGTAGTTTGTGAACTGGCCACGAGGATGTCGTCGACGTAAGCAAAGACAAACTCAAGTTCTCTCGTGACCTCGCTGATCAGGCATGGGAAAGCCTGCGCGAAATTCCACAGGCCAAAAGGCATTCGTGTGCAATCGAAGAGTCTGAACGGAGTCGTGATGGCAGTCTTGGGCACATGCGCTGGCTCGACGGGGACTCGATGGCAGGCCTTTATTAGGCCGATTTTGCCGAAGGTGTTGGCGCCAGCTAGACCGGCGGAGAAATCGTGAATGTGTGCAAAGGATACCGGCCAGGTACCGTGTACGCATTCAAAGCTCGAAAATCTCCGCATGGCCTCCAGTCGTTTGTACCTTTCTTCGGGACCATCTGAAGCGGAAACACCCAATTGCTGGAGGACGGGTGGATGATGACAAGCTCCAGCATCTGTTCGAATTCTCTGGAAACAATGTTAAGTTGCTCACCGACGAGGGCACGCACACTGCAGGGCCGTTGGTAATGATGCTACGAGCTACACCATGCTTGGCTGGCACCTCGGTGTTGCACGGTCGGGCAGGGTATTCCGTGAGGATGGCTTCATATCTCAAAGACGTCGCCAGAGGGTGCATCGGAGAACCGTCAAATGACAAGAGAATACCGTGACTAGTGAACGACTCGTCGGTGAGGCTTCTGCCACGCATGTTGACGGCCAGGCCACAGTTTGCCAGGAAGTTCGTTTCCACCTCTCAAACAACCGCAACAATGAAAACCCGGCGGAAAAGTCATTGCAGTCCAATGTCGACGATAAAAAAACGCTAGTCGTAGGTGGCGACGGTAAAGCCGTTGACTGCTCGCAGGGGTTTGGTGTGGTGCGCCTGCTGACGGTCCTAGCCGTGACGCTGGCAGGATGCCAACCTCAGCCCCGTGTCCACCAAAAATTGTTGGCCAGACATCTTATCAACGACGTAGAACAAGCGGCTCGGGTGATGGCCAAAGTCACTCGCCGCCCTTAGTGACGGGTCGTGGTGTTTCCCGATTAGGAATGCAGTTGTTGGCAGCGGACATGTTCTGCGTACTGCCAGTGGTACCAGTGCAGCAATCTGTCGGCCGACCGTAAGGCGCGTCGTGAGGGATGGTTGGGTCCGAGACGTATCTCGCCTCGTTCGTTGGAAAGGTGTCTCGTGCGACGGCCTCACACCGGCAACTGCGCAGGACAGCTGTTCCGTGCGCGAGTCTTGCAAAGGTTCCAGGCGGGCGGCATTGCGACAGTCCCGATGGACGGCCAAGCATACTGACCGGTCCACGAGGTTTGCCAGACGAACTAGCAGCATGTCGTCTGCTGCTGCCAGAACCACACATATTCCTGGTGGAAGTTTCTGCAGAAATAGCTTCTGCGAAATAGAAGCCGCATCTGGCGAAGAAGCTGAGATGGGCGGCAATCTCCAAGCTCCTGGGCAGTGAGCACCTGCTGGATCCTCGGGCACTCCGTCGTCCGCCTGAGGAGGATGCCTCTAAAGAGGTCGTAAGCGTCCTCAGAGAGGGCCGGAGCAAAATGTCATCCAGCTTGTCGGCAACGGCCGGAGAAACGACGTCGTGGTAGAACCGAGAAGGCTGGGATGCTATACGGTAACAGTGAAACTGAGCCTCGACTTGCGTTATCCAAACCCGGCCAAAAGGGTCGAGCTGGATGGCAACGAGGGCAGCGTCCAGAGAACTGAGAGGTGTGCCGTCGCCGGTAACAGCACTGCCTTATGTTCTCCATGCTGGCTGTGGTTGCTGTAGGAGGAAGCAGGGGCCTTCAGATTTCGGATCGCCAGTTTATGGG